TATATAATAACATTTTCCCTATTTTTTTTTTTTATACAAAGTGATTTTCATAAAGCTAAGGATAAGAAAGGGACGAAGGTAACAAAGTTACGTGAAAGCTGGGAATTAATCAGTGCGACTTTAGTTATGTAATGAATGATATTTTAAAAAATAATAATTTTTGATTAATATTGATCTAATAAATTTAGCAAGAAAATATTGATCTACTATAGTTGAATTATAATATTTTATTCTTTGAAAGAATACATGCTTATTTTTTATTTTTTTTCTTACCAAACAATGGTGACCAAAAGTAAGAGCTTCATGGTAAATCAGTCAGGAAAGATATGCTGAAATATTCATTAAAGATATTTTTAAGTTACAAGTATTTTTATGATATGCCATCACTTGTATATATAGATGCTTGAGATAAAAATTAGAAATTAAATTTTGTAATATAGTTATAGAAGTGAAATTCTAAATGAATTCATTATCAAACCGCCCAAGACCGATAACAAGATATAAGGCTTGAAGCCCATAGCATACAAAACTAGCTCAAATGCAAAATAAAACCAGCCCAACGCTTCCTAAATAGTTATCTCTTCGTCGACTATCCTGAAATTATATAAAAAGAGATTCTATAGATTTAATATTATTATTATTTTATTCAATTTAAAATATTATTTTAGCTATGTTTCAAATATTTAAATAGTATATTTTCCAAGTCAATATATCAAACTGAATCGAGTTTAACAATTATTTCTAATTCAAAGGTCAATATACATTAAGGAAATTGATTGAATTTAAAACACGGTGTGCTAAGTTCTTGAGGTTTGATTCATGAAAATTGGATTTGTTTTTTTTTCTTATTATCATCATCGTTGGTAGATTTGAATTCATGAGAGACGGTAGGGATGAAGTTTCCTTGTTGACAAACTAGGCATAAAATAACAAGAGACTAGTCTCCTTGTTGTTTGATGAGATTATCAACGAGTAACCATTTACATATTGGCCTTTTTAATGTTAATTTATATAATCTTGATTAATTAAAAATTTAATTTGTAATTGATTCACTGCATCAAGGTTCTAGGGATTTGTATTGAATGTCAATTCCATACGTTTCCAACACTCTTCTCATTGATCACCAAATAAATATATAAATAAATGAAATTTTAATTGAATCTTTAATAAAGTAAGCACATGAAAATAATGTGTTTCGAAATTCAACTATTTTAAAAAAAAAATTAAAAACATTATTTTAAATTAATATATTTAGTAATTTTAGATTATTTTGATATACTAACATTAAAAATAAAAACTAAAACATTAAAAAAATAATTTTAATATATTTTAAAATTAAAAAAAACTTTTTTAAAAATAATATTTATCTTTATTTTAAATATCTCTCCATAAGCTTAGACTATATCAGGAAGAAACATGTACAAGTAGAGTTGGCAAAGCAAACCTAGTAACAACTAGCCATTTAGCTTGGATTTCACATCAGAATTTATGACTGTTTTTATAAAAAAATGATTTGATAATAATAACAGATTAAAGCATTTTTCTTGTCATCCCTCCAATCATATACATATATAGAGAAAATAATGCATCTAAATATTCAAGATAATTAACCAAGCATAAAAATAACAGAATTAAAATCATTTTAACATTAAAGATGAATTGATTTATCAAAAAAACAAAAAAACAAGTAGAAGAAGAAAGCAAGAAACCAAATGGGGTAAAACAAATTCACAATTTCAAATTAAAAGAAAAGGATAAAAATAGTTTATAGTTTCTAAAATATATTTTATAATAACATTGCAAGGTATAATAATAAAGAGTTGACCATTAATTAATCTAATGATTGTCATTAGCATACTTAAAACTAAGAATATTCAAACCCCATTTCGTTAATGACATGACATTCAAAAAAAAATATTCAAGAAACCAAGTCGAAGCAAAGAAGGAAATGAAATTGTAATAAAAAAAATAATTAACTACCTCAATTAAACCAAGTTCAGGAGCTGGAGATTCATTAATTAAATGAATTGATTAGCTGAAAGTTTCCCATTTTAATACGGCACCGTTTTCAGCCAAACAGAGAGGCAGAGAGCGTGATGGAGAGCAGAAACGGAAATATTTTTATGGCGGGAGAGAGAAGTGGACAGAGGGAATGATTGTGTACGGGTGGAACACATGAGTTGATGGGAGGTAGAGTTCTGTATGGTTACGTGGCATCTTTCAGTGGATGGAGTGGTGAAGTTTATGTGTGATAGGTTGCAGTGGAGAATGAGAGATAGTGACGTCATGTTAGGTTTGTGTCTTGACGAGTATCTAGGACTTAAATCTGGGATCTTACTTGTGTCTTAATTTGCATTTATTATGTTTTAATTACTAAGAGATAGATTTTTCTTGCTTTGTGTTATATATGTATTAATCTCCTCTAATGACTAACAGATACATAAAAAAATATTTTTATTTTTAAACCCAAGTTTAATGAATTTGCTCTAAAAAAAATATATAATAATTTTATTTTGTGAATTCATAATGAAATGTAAATATACACATTGTAAATTATTGAGTTTTTTTAGTTTTTTTTATAATATATTTGATAATGTGATATGATGTTTTTTAAAAAAATATTTTTATTTAAAAATATATCAAAATATTTTTTATATTTTTTTCATTTTGATATAATATAATAAAATTAGAAAAACACTAAAAAGCATCAATATAATTTTTTAAAAAATTAAAAATTAAAACAAAAAACACTTTAACTTGTAACAAGCTTGCATCCAATGGTGGTGTTATGATATAAAAATAAAAGTAGTCTCACTTTTGTCCCCGAAACTTTCATCAAACAAAAGAAAGGAAGAATATCTTTTTGGAGTCGGAACCTAAAGGATATAGCATGTGTTGGGGTGGAGGAGAGGAGGATAGATCATGGAAGTAACAAGGAGGAAACTTGACGACAACAAAACCCTAAGAATTTCAACTACTCTTTTTCAAGACTGGGTCTCATCTTCATATTTCATGCCGATACAACCGGAGTATAATTTATTTATTTTTTAAAAAAAATTAAAATCTATTGATACAAACTAAATCCAACCCAGGTTTGGTTATATCAACCAAATAATAAGTTAATTTAACTCAGTTAAGCTAGATTTTCTTAAAAGAATATCAAAACCAAAATCAAGTTTAAAGTCTCAATTTTTTTTAGATTAACCCACCATTTTAATCCAAGCTTAACAATTATCGAGAACTACAAAGAATTCTATGAGGGAGTAATTTGACTCTAGATGGTGCGTAAAAAAATTTAAAAATCAATTAAATTGAAAAAATAAAAAAAATAATTAAAAAATCAAATCATGAAAAAAACCCATTAAAATTTAAAAAAACCTAACTTGTTCAGTTCAATTTCAATTTTATAAATCTAAAAATAAAAAAAAAAAAACAGAACGAACAGAATTTAAACTAGAAAAATTAGAAAAAACTTAGCAAAATCAGAAAAATTAAAAACTAAGTCAAACTAAAAAAATTAAATCAAATGTAGTTGAACTAGTTTATTCTAAAAAAATAAATTAAATTAAAACGAATTGATTTAAACTGGATTTAATTTAAAAAATAATTTGATTTTTTTTATAAAAATCAAATCAAATTAAAAAAAAAAAAAAAGGAGAGAAAGGGAGAGGCTGGAACTTGCATATTCTTTATCATATGTACTCTCTCGCTAGAGGAGGAAAAAAAGGTTGCAACTTTAGTACACCCTTTTGTCAGAAATATACAGCAAGGCTACCGAACTAGCCAAAAGGGACGTCCTCTCCCTTTCTCTCTCCTTCTCCCCTCCTCTGAATTCTCACAAAGAAGAAGAAAAATGAAAAAAAAAATAAAAATAAAAGGACACAACTTTTGTCCGTCACAGCCTTCTTTCACAGGAAGAAAGCACAGACAGGCACCAATAATAGCATCAAAAAACACAATGGCAGTATCGTAAATCTCAGCCAAGGTATCCTTCAGAGATCATTGACTAGTCCACCAGTCTGAGAAGCACTGGACAGAATAAATGATAGATGGATAGGTTCTATCCCTCTTTTCCTTTTGTAGAGAGTGTACACACGCTCCAATCATAGAGGTTAGCCAATTGGGGACCCCACAAGACTCTCGGCCCTCTTTGTACATGACCTGTTTCTACTTATCTAGGGCGCGTGAGTTCACTATTTCTCGAGTGATTCTACTTTTAAGAAAAATCCATATATATTTCAAGAAATAATGATACAAGGGATTTAATGCAAGTGATGGACATGTTGAAATACTTGTCTAAATCATATAGATTTGAAGCACAATTGGACCTACCATATATACACTATTCAAGAATCATAAAGCTAATAAAAAAAAATTGATGATCAAGTTCTAAGTTTTTTTTATTTTATTTTGAACGATTTTAATATATGTTTTAACGTGCATTCCATCCCCTTTATTGCATAAAAAAATTATTTTTCAACAACATTTCTAATATAAAAATTAATTAAATCTTATTAATATTATGGTATCATATATTTTTTATTTGAAAATATATTAGAATATTTTTTTATTTAATTTATTTTCAACATTTATCTATTAAAATAATTGAAAAATACTAAGTAAAATATAAATTTAATATTTTTTCAAGTCGAATATAATTTTAATGGTACTTAAATATATGATTACAAAGACAAAAACAATAAATCTTCAGCATGCATGCTTGCAACTTTAACAACAACAACTTATAAACAAGGTAAAACAAAATAGCAATAATCATCTTCTTAACGAATTTGTAACACATTTGATATCCATAGGGGATCTCGAGTTCAAGTTTTACTCTTGTGGTCTAAAAATGAATACAAGTCAAATTTCATTTAGTGCAATCATTGTTTATAGCTCAAAGACGACTACATGATCTCCATCAACTAGAAGCTTCCCGATGCCCTACATTGCACTTTTGAATTTCGACAAAAATATAAATCAACCCTAGTTGAGTGTCCACACATAATATGTTATAAACTTCAAAAGGATAAGTAGAGTGATAATTCATGGAGATGGGTCTAAAAATGACATAGATTACATAAGATTATGAATGATGTACAATGAAAATGGGATTAATGATAACAATAATGATGATGATCAAAGTGAGTAGATGAAAGTTTTTACTCACTGATTAAAGTGATCATAACAATAATAGGAGTATTATTATTTTGGACCTGATGACTGGTTCTTATGAGAAGCGAGAGCAAGGATTGAATTAGCGAGCTTGTTAATGGCATCAACTAAACCACTAATGCCTTGCCTGTTGATTTCTGTCTTGGATTCCTCGATCTTGAGTCTTCTCTCATGCAAACTCAAGAGATCTCTGTGTCTTCTTTCTTCTCTCTCATCACAGGCCTGAATTGCTTCTGCAATGATAGAAGCACTTTTGGAAATGGCAGTGCCCACTTCTTGTGAGGTGCTTGCACTGGCAGTGCCACCACTGGTTCCTTCCCCACCTTCACCGCCTCTTCTCCTTCTCTTTGCTGGCGAGTCTGAATACTCACTTGTATCAGAATCTGAGCTATCACACATCTCCAAAACATGAAAATGTGGAACCAAACCAATCAATACTAACTGAATATGTATAGTTATAATTATACATGCTAAGCTATGCTATGCTATGCTATAAATAAATTCTATGTTGATGAGATCATCCAACAGTCATTTCTGTCCACACAATCAAACCAAAAACTGTAATGGGTTCTTGCAGAAAAGGCAGTTTACGCTAATCAAAGTATATATGCCAACATTTTTTGGTGTTCAAGTTCATTAATGCATAAGAACACAAATATATTACATCTTAAAATCTCAATGTTTTAGAACTGCAATGATCACTCAAGCACTTGCTGTGTTTTAGCTAAGACAGAGCTGTTATGAAGGAAAATGCAATTCGATATGACAGGAGCAAGATGTCTTCTTTTGTACATGAAAGTACACACGATTTAGAAAGAATGTCTGCCGAGAAGAAGAAGAGGAAAGAATCAAGCTGGAGGATTTCATAGATGGAGATTCAAAGAGAGGGAGAGGGAGAGGGAGTGTGTGTGTACCTACTGTGCGAAATGACTCAGGAAATTGGATTGGAGGAGGTGGTTGAGCTTGTGGTTGTTGTGATGGTGGTGGGCGGGGAGGAGGTAGAGGTAATGCAGGAGTTGGAGCAGCTGAGACCTGATGCTGCAAAAGAGGAGGCAGTACTGAAGGCTGAACATCAGTTATTGGTCTCTCTACCACATAGCCTGTGTTAGGATTAGAACCTGACCCACCAGCAGCTGTAAGCATCCTCTGTTGACCACCTCTCCTCTCCACAACCTGCACTAATTCCTCATATATCTGAGGCAACATGTTACTAGGCAAGTTTCTCTCTTTTCGTTCATTCTTTTCAAGCTTCCAGTAAGACCCATTCCTTTCTCCTGTCTCAGCAATTTTCCTCTCATAATCTCTAACTTTCTTGTAATCTCTCATTAAATTATCCCATTTGTCATTGCACTGGTTTTGGCTCCTCAAACACTCTTGTTTCCAACAATAATCTTCAACCCATTTCCATCTAAGCTCTGTCGGTTTGCTTCTCCCTTCTGCACTATCACTTCTTTTCATTCTCCTCTCATCATCCATTCTTTTTGCTTCAATCAACACCATAGTCTCACTAACTGTCCAGTTACCTTTCTTATATTCCCTTATCAAACTCTTACCACCTTGATCGGCCATCATGATCACTACACAACTACTTAGGTTAAATGCATGCAAAGCTCTTGACCTTTGCAGCTAGTAAGACATAAAAAGAGGGAGACAAGTGAAGTGCTTAAAGAAGGAAGGAATGAAGTGTTGAGAAGAGGAGGAATGAGCCAAGAAGCAAAGAGAATGGGTCCAATTGGTCTTTGTCCTTCGCTCCCTTTTTTAGAGACTTTGATTTGATGCGGGTGTTCAAAGCAGTCAAATCTTTACTAAGATTGCTAATTTAGGCAAAAAATAATAATAATCACACTAATGTGGGCTACCTTAACAAGTATAAGTGGTTCTATAACATGACATTAATAACCAGCCCGCTTTCACTATCTTTGCCTCAAAATTCTCAACCTTTTTTAGCTTTTAGTTAGATTGCACTCCCTTTAAAATCTTCAAAAATCCTGATAGATGAAGGTTCAAATCTAAAACTACTTATGCAAGCCACTGCTCCCTACACATCGAGGGAAAACCATGAGAGAGACCCTACACATCGAGGGAAACCATGAGAGAGACACAAAGGGGTGACGAAGAAAGGAGGAGAAAGGACCAATTAGCTCCATTCAAACTGACATATCTGCAAACCCAAAAAGTAACTGACATATCTGCAAATCCAAAAAATTTAAGGTGAGATAACTATTGTATTTGAAAGTATTTTTCGTTCGAGATAGAAAATACTTTAGAAAAAAAACAGGTGTTGACAGCATTAGCAACGACTGCTGCTGTCCACAGACGTGGTCTCTGGTTACTAATCATCTCACCGTGTGACACCTTCGTTAAGAGTTGATTAGTAATCAATGCCATGGGATTTTCTCAACTTTAATAGCATTCTTGGGTCTCTAGCATTCTTTGACAAGGGAGATTCTTTTTCAATTGACTTGATTTTCCCCAATAAAATTACTTTATGAGATCTGCCAAGAGATGGTAACACTTGGACTGTGAGTTGTAAGATATCCATCAAGTTTATCTGCATGAGAAACGTATAAAAGTTCAAAGGTTAATCGACCAAATGATTTTGGACATGTCGTTCTTCAACCTTTTCCAGTATTTCACATGGGATTATAGCTTGCAGGGTGCTTATGAAAGTTCGAACCCTATGGAATCCTAAGATGCAACTATATGTATATATGATCCTACAAAGGTTGCTTTCAATTTCTTTAACTAGTTAGACGAGCTAGCTTTCCTTTTCTTTAGCCATGAATCTTGCTGCATAGGGTCACTTTTTCTATCCAAAACATTGGGCTACTTATGACTGCTCCCAGTGAGAGACACAAAGTGGTTACTCTTGCATTATGACATGTAAATATACTAAGAAAAAAGTAAACGGTTTTTTCACGAATAAATTATATAATTATAAACTTTGTGATGTTTCATTGTAACAATTATAACATTATTCTATTATTCTCTATATAAAAAATTAACTTGAAATCTTATTTTTTTTATTAACATATATGATGTTTGTTATATTTTATTATATATAAGTATTGACTTTTAATCAAATTAAATTTACAATGTTTAATTTTAAACATGCATTAAACAGGGGAGTTCAGTTGAAAAACTTTGAAATTAGTCTATTAAATTAAGTTTAATAACAATATTAAATAATTTTATATAACTTATACTGTGTTATGTGTGCAAAGATTCTTAAATTCTCGCATGAATTAGAGCATACAAGAATGTTTATGATTAGTTTAGGATGCACCATATAGTATAATCATTGAAGAAGATCAAGCAGAAGAATCAACATTGAGAGGCTAAAATAGCATGACAATTATGATTTGGTGAGGCATTGTCTGTCCGACAACAATCCCGTTACCGTTCAAGAATTATGAATGAGTCTGCAAATACACATCAAACCCTAAACCTCCATTGATTTTACCAAGAGTGCCAAGATTTGGATCTTTTCGAAGAAGTTGACAGTTTTGTCCTTTCAGGAGGTTACACAGATGTCAATTTCGTTTTTTGAGGCAGGACATTAAAAGCCTGGGTGGGAGCCATGTCAGTAGCCATATATATTATATTTATTTTTCTCTTTTTTCCAATCCTGCCAGCTATATAGGACCTGAAAGAAGAGGGTACAAAAATTGCAGGGTTAACTTTGACCGGGGCTTTGACCGCAGAGGACGGTTCAATGGGGTCCTGAACTGAAACCCTTGACTGGTCTTTTCCGTTCCAAGTTTTTGGACTCTAGCCTGCTCCATTATGGGGGTACAAGATGCCGAGGGTATCCTCGTCATTTCAGTAAACCCAGCCTTTCCTTCAGAGATAGCGGTTTACGATTTTGGATAGCTATGGTATATGGTGGATCGTGGGATAAAGTTTGCATTTTTAGTTAAGAGTTTGTAACCTTTTATCAGTTGAGTGATTGCAAAATCTGAGCATGGCTGTGAAAATCGAAAACAATCAAACAAAAAATAAAATAAAAATAAAGGAGAGATAATCATGCTAAATTATTGCTGACATGCCTTAGATTAAAATTTCATTGAATCTAGAAAAATTATCGGAATTATATGATAATTATATTAACATGATTCAGTTAATTTTATAAATTTAAAGTTAATTTAAATAACAAGTTAAAAAATATTATTTAACTTTTAAAAAAATTTAATATTAATATATATATATATTAAATTGATATGAACTTTATAACTCAACTTGTTAAATGTATAACTCATATCATTAATTTTACTAAGTTTAATAATTTATTTTAAAAACAATTATATAATAATATAATAACAAAAATAAACACTTGAAAAATCAAATATCAACCAACTATCAGGATTTTTGTTTAAGATTATAATAACTTCATAAAAATAAAACTAAAAAAAATTTAAATATCAATTTAAAATAAAGATAAAATTGAAGGGGAAAAAAACTACCCAATTGAAAGAAAAAAAATTAAAAAATACATTTTTATTAAAAAACAATATTTGACACTGGTATTAAACTAAACCTATTAAGTTAACTTTAAAACTTTTCCAATTAATTTTTTATTTAATTCAAGTTTAAAATTAACTCTCATGTAATTTAATTTCAAGTGGATTTAATTAACTTATCAAATTTAAACGTAATCTAAGATATCGATAAAAATATGATTTGATTTTAAAAAATTTTAATTTTTTTATTATTAATATAAAAATACATTAAATTAACTTAAGTTTCATAATTAACTTTTAAAACCAAGAATCTAGATCATGAAATTTAATAGGCTTCAAAACTCTTTTTAATTTAATGATATAATAATATATATATATATAAATTAAATATCAATTGTACTAATTTTATAAAATAAATTATAATTATCAATTTAAAATTAATGAATTATTGAATGGTGGATTTATAAGAAAAACTAAAGATATTCCGAACTTTATTTTTTTTCACCCTTTTTCTCCATCTCCTCTCCTCTCCTCTCCCCTCTCTCTCATTTCTCTCTCTGAGATCTCTCTCTAGTTTGTCCGACCGAACTAGTAAATAAAACCCATCCAATAGGAGATCTTTTAGTTCATAACGAAAGCTCTATTTTGTAGCATTTTATAGGGAGGCTTCCGGCCCCCTTCGTCATAAAAACAAGGTCAAATATCAAAACTTTTCTTATTTGCTGGAGGCTTGCTGTTTTGGGTATAGAAATTCTTGAGCTGAAAGAAACTTCCAATCTCAGGGGACAAAAATAGTTTAACCGTTAATGGCTACGATGTCCTTCCTTCCCTAGCCATCTGGCCGAGGCATCCTGGCAGCTAGGATTAACGACCAGTATGTCGTGCACTTCACCCACAAAAATGTATATTTTTAATAGTCAACCTAATTTTTGTATGCAAATCTAGCGGTCAGGAGAAAAGAATAGAATATCAAACAGTAGCAGAGAAAGAAGAAGAATGTGTTACACAAAAAACATAAAGCATGAAAGAGATATCTATTTCCTATCTACAAGCAATATTAATCACCACCTTTTCTTTCATGATATAATTTGTTTTTTTTATGTTTCATAACTTTAAAAAAAATGAATTTTACTTATTTTTTATTTAAATTAATATTTTTTATATAATTTTTTTTTTTAATTCATTTCTAATAAAATAATACTTTTAAAAGCAACTCAACAACACTCTCAAAGGCATAAAAGTGAAGACTAGTATGAGAATTTTTACAACTTCATTGTTATCAAAGGTAAGGTTCAGCATCTAATCAAAATTTAAATGCAGCCCCACAAAGATCTACTCGACGTCGGCAGCTTCGGTCCAGTAGCTGCTGAGAGGTTCTGGGTCTAATCCAACTATCGAGCAAGTCATCCATCATTCTGTGTGAAGGATATTTCAGTTCCCTCCACGGAAAGAATATTTAAGATACTGAAAGTCTGACCTTTTCCTTTTCACAAGGACCAAGAAATTAAGTATATCAACATTAATTTTTTGGCTTGAAAACCCTCCTCTGTATCCAGAATATCTTTCTTCGAAAAAGGGCAGATCGTTCAGTCACTTTTGCATCCGGCTTCCCTCTTGTGGAAGAAGCTTGTGTTTCCTCTTTTTCTTTATCCGATTCTTGAGACCGACACCTACCTGTTCTTGAACCTTCTGCTGAGCTTTAACCCTTTCATTTGAAGTACCTTGTCATCCTTACTGGTCTTGTGGCTCTGGTTGGATTGATACAATGGCATCGCATGTGCTTTTTTCTTGTTCTATACATCTTCTGTGGCGAAGGGCTCAACGCTTCTCCAGCCGAACCACCGATTTCTACGATTTCATGATGCTATTTCACAAAATAGACAGCCAATGCTGCTCATTCTTCCATCGAGTTCGTTCCCACCTAGATGGTGATCAGACTGGTTGACACTTCAATGCACCAAGTCCGGAAACTTGATACGTTGAATCTTGCTTTTATAGTTTCTTCGAATGGAGGAAGAATCAGAGGATGAAGAAGTGGAGCTATGCGAATAAGAAATCAGAAAGGGTAATAATTTGCCGTTTCTTGTTTTAGCTCTCAAACACAAGGCCTTCTCCGTTAGCGGCAGATTTGGTTGTTGCTTTTGAAGGCATACAACATTCTTCCAAACTTGTATCGTTTATAAGTAAACTTCCTTTGCTTCAATTATTTTCATTAAGCATTTCCTCCTAGTTCGCATGCAGGCATAATCATTAAGCAGTAAC